ACATCTTCAGGTCTAGCACTGAAGATGTTACCTAGCTGGGTAAAGATGTTACCTAGCCGGGTAATGAAACGTTTGCAAGAAAGCAACCAAGCTCAGAGATCCCCAAGGACTCCACAGTTCAACCCTGAGCTACACCTATTCACTTCTATTGCTACTAATTCCCCAGTTAGTTATGTGTCATCGAGTTGAGCTCAGTTCCTGGTAACTGTATGGACAAATGCTTGATACCATGATCTATCTTTAGTCTCAATTTGTAGTTCTTCCATGGACAGCCCTGTAATTTCTTTGACTCATCCATCTGCATTATTACCTGTGGTCTTCTTCACCTTGTCAGGCATAGTTGATTTTTCTAGTCCCTCATCTATCAGCTTGAATTGCATGCCTAAAGTATGTGGATTTCTGCTTGCTGTTCCTACTTCAAGAGAGCTGTCAGTCTTCATTTGGTGTGGTGTTTTTCCTGCAGTCCATGGTACACTCAGAAAATGTCTCCAGATTCATAATTTGAAAGCATTTCCTTTCTCTCATTCTTTCTTAATGTGCAGCTTTTATAGCCACAGACCATTGGAAAGATCAGTTGTGTTCTTTGTTGTCATAGAAATATTCTTCACGATGTTGTCTAATTTTCTTTTCCTCCATAGAATTAATTTCTTCTTTACTTTTCCAGTACGCACTCTATATTTACTGGTACCTAAGACAACAAAATTGTCTCTACCTTCACTTCTTTGCTGTTAAGTTCAAGTGAACTTATAGTTAGGTATGCTGGTTGGCACTAACTTAGTATTTACAATATTAAACCTTAAGCCTGATTTTTCATTTTCCCTTTTCACTGTCATAATGAGACCCTCCAAGTCCTGCTTGCTTTTGGCTTACACAATGTTGTCATCTGTGTATCTCTAATTGCTAGTGTTTGGAACTCTAATACGGATTCCATCTTTTCCAAGTGTGTAATCCATATTAGAGTCCCAAATACTCTAAGTCACTGTAAATTATCACAATAATCACTGTAAATTAAACAGAATGGGGATAATATCCATTTTTCTGCACTCTCTTTCAGACGAGGACCTGAAACCACTATGCTTTTCCAAAATCAGTTCTCCCAGTAATTTCTTACTCATTGTAAAGTTCCATGGAAGAATAATCTGATGCTCTGGCACCCCCATTAGCCTTAATATGTTCTGCAATCTGGTTTGATCAACACAATCTAGAACCTTGCACTGGTCAAGGAAGCAAAGGTCCACCTCCTTATGGTATCCATTTGCTCTTTCTGTCATGCACCTTCTATTTACTTTCTGATCTTGTGTCTCTCTCCTTTTCTGAAACTTGACTGTTCATATGGCTTTACTCTCTTTCCATATTAGGTACTATTCTTTTTTTCTAAGATCCTAAGCTAAACATTGCTGGTGTGAGGAATCAGTTCAACAAGTCAGTAATTTGTACCTTCCTTTTTATTTCTCCCTTCTTCAGTTATGTGTGTCCTCCAATTATCACCGGTCCCTAGGCCAGTCACTTTTTCTGTATTTGTTGACAGAGAGCTTTTCCTGGCTGCTCAGTCGAAAGTGCTATCTACCTCGAATTAGCATATTTTTGTCACTGTCATTTTGTAATTCCATTTATACAGGGTTTCAGTACAGCCTTTCCGTATTCACTTGCCTCTAGTAGATCTCTACTGTAATTACTATTCCTGTGGGTTACTATGGTTACTAACCATAGTTACTATGGGTTTGGAGATCGTTTTGCTAGATGGGTTGCAGAACTTCCGTTCTGCCCTCATCTCCATGGTTAACTTCTCATTTCCCCATTTGACCATATTGGCAAGACCGACCTTCTCTTCAGCTCTTCTCTTCAGAAGTTTAAAACTGATGAATCTTTCTTTTTTGAGAAAATGCTCACATGATTAAAAAAAAAAAACATGTTGATAACCTAAGCTATTGTGTCATTAAATACATTAAATTCATGTATGACTACCACTGAAATAGGAAGGGAGTGATTAAGCGTAAGCAACACCCACTTGTTGTATTTTGCTCCTCATCTCGTGCCATGGACCAGTCAACCTTATTTGGTTTATTCTTTAAAAATGTAATCCTACCTATATAGTAAAACTCTTTAACATAGCTGCCAAACTTCAGTGAGTTGCATCTCAAATATGGATGGGATCTGGGTCCAACCTCCTTGTAAACAATGATAGAGCTCATTTTTATAAAACTCTTTGTTTAGCCGAAGGTTTTAATGTGGCCATATGAAAGTAGGATAAGGACAGAAAGTTTGCAGGGCCAAGTTGGAATGGCTTAAACCGCATGGCAAAAGTTCCTTAGTGCTATGTAATAACATAGCAACAAGCAAAGCAAGCAAGCAACGCTGCTGACCAAATTTAAACCTAATAATTTCCATAGGAAGCATTCATTATGTTTTAAAAATATATACATTTTAGTTCAGTAATCACAAATGCTAATGGTAGCACAAAAATGAAATTGAAGAAACATATCATTGTGATGGGCCACTCCTACAATTTTTTAAAAAATTAAGATTAGTCACCCCTTAGCTAGTTTTAATCAAGGTGAACAGGAGGGAGTTGTTTCTTTTTCCAAACAGTTTTTCAAAGAAGGAACAATAATTTTTTAAGAGGACTACATCCTTAGCCAACTGGGACCAGTCTTGAAAAGTTCAGTAGGGTCAGTCCTGATTAGTACCACGATGGGAGACCATCAGAGACTAGAAAGTCGGAGCATATACTGGAAGGAGGCAGTGAGAACCCATTTCTATATTGTCAAGAAATTATTCAGACATACAAGCCAAATTCAACTTGAAGGAGATTTTACCTTTTTGCTATTTAAATTATACTAGGAAAAAAAATAGAATCAAGTGAGTGGGCAGTATACAGTTTTTTTTGGAATTAATCAATTCATTGGTTGATTTTTTTTTAACACATTCTCATTTAGAAGAAGGGAGAACACATCCAGGTTTGCTTGTGAGTCTGTAGTTTTGTTTTTTTTCCAAGATAAGTATCATTCAGGCAACTTAGTCAATCAGGCAGTTCTTCCAATTTAATTCCCCCTGAAGCCAGCAAGATATAGTATGTTTGCTATTCAGATTTGGATCTTTTCATTTAAAACTGGCATCTTATTAGGTTAGTATTAAAATACTAGTACCCTTAGTATTAAAACTTGCATATCTTATATCTAAAGCGAATGAAACACATTACTGCAATGTTGGTGCTGTTGTTTTTGAAAGCACGTTAAAGGCTGCATGCGTGAGCTAAGTAGCTGATTTTTATCATGAAGCTGCAATCTCTGTCAGGTGTTGCATCTCACAGGGGTGTCTGTATGATCTAGTGTACCAATCGTGGGTGAAATGCCTGAGTTACAGCGGCTGGCTGTAAGAAGCTTGTTTGATTGCGCAGTCTTGCCAGTACCCGTAGGTGTTATCAGGTGAACAGGCAATTACTGGGAAACAAGTCGGAATACAGGACAGCAACTCACAGAGAAAACTGACAAGAAAATAACTATCACAGCCTGATTAGCATATGGGGTGCGGGTGGGCGTTTCTCCAATACTTCATGCTAAAACACAGGCTCTCAATATTTTTTTCCATTTATTCAGAGGAATCCATAATAGCGATTTGTATACAGGGGAACGTTTTATGCAAATCAGTTAAAGACTTTTAAAACATCTGACTCCAAAAGTGCGGGGGGGGGGAGCAATTTTGAGCATAAATGTATGCCTGCAGGCTCACTGAATAGGAAACTGAACATGCCCAGATATTTGGCCAAGAGTATGTCTCTGCTGAATGCTAAGGGCAGGAGGATCCCCATATTACTGCATTGTTTATATTGTACTTTCACTAATAAAAGAATAACATGCTTGGGTGTGATGCGTTGAAAGAATTTTAAGGGCCTGATTTTTGCACTTGGAGGCTTTCACCCGCTGTTACAGGCAAAAATTGTGAAAAGTTTTATAGTGTTTAGACTTCTTTGACCATCCACCAGTAGGCTTAAGCCAGTGAAGCAGACTCTACAATATCAAGTATCGGGTCTGGGATTAAGAAGAAGATTAATATATTTGAAATATTAACTAAAAGACATACAGTACCAGTAAAACCCATGAGGGCACCCTCTTTTGACTGCTGACGTAGCCCATCTTCATCCTGGAAGTCTATATAGACAAGGTCTATGGCCTGCAAGCCAAAAGCCTTTGCTGTGACCACAATTTTTTGCCGTGCGTAAAGAATGTCGTGAGTGTCTTTACTACTTGTTGAACCTGAAACGAAAGATCCCATTGTGTATAAAAGTTTAATTCTACGTTAAAACCATTTGCAACAGAGCTGTAGTTGAGAATACATGTGTTTTCAATTTGCAAAAGAAAGACAATAAGAGATTTTTATGTGATCACAATTTTTGTGGAACAGTTGAAAGAATATTATTCAGCTAGCAGACTAAATATTCAGATTCTGCAAAAGCCCTTCCTTTCTTGCTACCTCTATTTTTAATAATTTTCATTTAGTTTCACCGACATCTCTTTTTATTTGATCAAAAGGCCCATTACAAGGTTATGGATAAAATAAAACATACACACAAACTACATGAAGATTAACAAACATCCTTAAATGATGTTGAACTCATTTCATCCAGAGTATTGCCACTAAATGCATCTAAAATTGCTTTTTTGGAGTCATAAGGAACCATTTTTGTTGTATATATTACACTTATGTAAGTATACTGATTTCTCTTATAATTTATTCAAATTTAAAATTTTAACTTTGGAATAATTTTATTTTTTTATTCATTTTAATTTCTATAGCTGCCCATCTCAGCCAAGTGACTCTGGATGGTGAACAACCATAAAAACAATTAAAACAAGTAAAATACATTTTTATATTTAATACCTTAAGTGGAATATCTGAGAAATAACCTCTGAAGGTTACCTTTTGAAGGTGAACCTTTTGAAGCATTCACAAGAAACCTGCTGAAGATCTTATTATTAATCATACATATTACATTCCTTTCTTTTGGAAGGGGTGGTGCCAAACTGCATTGTGCTCAGAGGTTGGATCCACATGTTAGATTAAAATGTAACTGTCTAGTTTGTGGCTTAGTGTGTGTGGAACATACACAATATGATAAGTTTATAATTCAGTATGGCTCTAAAAAATTGAGTTAATTGTCCAAGCCACAGTCAGTTAAATATGGAAACCTGCATTGCGGGAACATAATCCACGAGTTCTGATTAGGTAGCCCCGTTCACACTTATGAACCTGCCATAAGTGAATAATAAAAATAAGAGCTGCTGACCTTGTTTACTTTTTGAAAAATGATAAACAGCATCTGAAGACAAATAATAGGCAATAAAAATAAATTATTTGCCTAGGGCAGTTTTTAAAAATCTGGCACCCTCCATATGTCTTGGTCTACAACTCTTGTATCCCTAGGCAGCAGGCACATATGTTAAAGCACATGCAGTAAAATAGATTTAGGCATGCAAATAAAGATAAGGTGTTAAAATATTAAGAATAGTTCATAGTTTGTTCACCAAAATGCAATATCGCATATACCCTAATATTACTTCAAGAAATATTTTTTATATTGTATATGCAGATAAAGAGATGGTCTCATGTTCTTAATTTCCACAATAATTTTTTTTATTATTTTTACGAGCCAGTAAATAGAATGTTCTATTTTCTCTTTTTCCAAAAATTACAACTTTAAGAGGTTAATGATAATTCTTGTACGCTTTAGCCTGATAAAGATAATACAAAGGTTTACAATAAGAATCATAATCAAATACAGTCAAATATACTGTTGATTTCAGTAGGTTCATGATACAATTGAATGGAACACATCATCGTAATTATTACCGCATTAACATATTCTTTAAAAGAGGAAATACCTATACTGGCACGAAAATCCTCGCCTCCAAATACCACTGCATCCAGATGAAGGCCAACATGTGGTCCTGTTCTCAGAGTCTCTTCACAAACAGCCTTTGCATGCAACACAAATAATAATACAAGCAGCAGCATTTCTAATTTTTTTGGTAATTTTTGTAATAAAAAAGATACTAATCTTTTACTATATTCCTTATCCTAAAACAATAATGAATAATAGCCACACACAAATTAAAAGAAGTATTCTGGATGCAAAAATGCAGTATAATTAAAATTAAAATGCAGAATATAATCCTTCCTTTCCCTATTGGTTTTTATGACAAAGGTTTCCGATGTGGCAACTACTTTTGGAGTTGTGTAATAACAGCAATAAAAAATAAAAATCATTACGTAGTGCATACAGTACAGGACTTTTTAAGAGATTCCAGAATATTTAGCACTGCAGAGAATCACAACTGAAGCATATTTGGTTTAATACATTACAGATGGAGATTGCAACCACTCACAATTTAATAGGCAGCATATGGTATGTTACTAACTAGTGTACCTTGGATATCTTCGAATTAATATAATTACAGCAGATATAAAAAGCAACAAGTAGAAAATATTAGAAAAGCAAATGATACCTTGGGGTTTTCTAAATGCATTAATCCCAATATTGTTGCAAGCTTTGAATAATAAAATATTTATTTGTTTAGAAATGTAATTCAGTAAACAGCAATACTGCAGGGCTGGCAAAGATATGTGAATAACCAGCGCTACAAAAAGTTCAGTGGTTTCTATTTATTATTATAAGCAATACTGTAAGTAAATATGTATCCAGTAATGAGCACCTGTAATGCTACTGTAATCTCTACAGATCCTAAGCATAGGGATATTTTTCAAGGCAGAATTTAATCGTTCTTTTTCTTTGTTTATTTGAGGAAAGGGATAATATTAATTAAAAGAGAGGGGGAAGTACATAAACTTTTTGCATTAAGGTATATAATTAGTCATTCTATAGCCTACAGTGGGAAAAAAACTCTGCAACCCTGAAACTGGGATTTATATTAACACGGTAGCCACAAGGGCCTCCCAGCAGCTCCTTCTTATAGCACCAAACTTTTACAAGAAATCTTGGCATGACTGTGGTGCACTCCAGTTTCAGTTTCATCAGCATTAATATCTTTCTTCCATAGAAACCCACAGGCTGGATGCCAAGAATAGGCTATCTGCATGCAGTTGATCACCGTCGAGATGGGGGAGGAGATAGAAAAGCAGATTTCTGGGGCCAAGGGAGAGAAAGAGATTGCACGCATGGCCATGTCATGTGGATTTGGATCCTGGAAATTCTCATGTATGTTTCTTACTCTTAGGACCAGTTGCACATGTACATTTTTTTTTAAATCTTGAAATTTTGAAAAAAAAAAAGACTCCAATATTCTTGGAATTCCATTTAAAAATGATTTTAAGATATTTAATACGATACCTAAAATTCAAAAGCAAATGACAAAAAATAAATCATGATAATTGCTAGAATATTTAGAAACAATCTTAACTGTTTGGGGCTGTTTTTGAGACTCAAGTATCTTTTATGCAGCGTATTAATAGTGACAAGTAATCGCAGTAGTACAGAAGAAAGCAGTTACGTGAGATGCATCTATGTCAGGTAAAGCTGAATATTTTGGGCTAATGAATGGATTTATATACAATATGAAATCAATATAGTTTTTAAAACATTGTAGTTCGCTTCTTCCCCATTCCCAGTTATGAAGGTGTTATTTATTTAATGGAACTTATAATCCAAAAGGCTAGGACTTTATCCAGGCACGCTAAATGAGACAGATCTTTCTTACCTTAAAATTGAGCAAGCCCATTGCGCTTTCCACAAAAGGAATGAAATTGATCGGCGTTCGGCCTTCTAAGTGGCACGCACATTTCTCTATCAACTAAGAACATTACAGAGTGGACACAGTATTAGGGCCTGGGCTTTTTTTAAACTCTATAAAAATGGTGCATCTTTGCACGAAAGTAAAGTACAAGTGAGCCGAGAAACCAGAGGCCAGACTGCTAAGCAAACTCTCTGCCCCTACGCTTTGAAAGGAATCTGTTCTTACAGGCCTATCTTGAAGAATGCTGGGATTACTGTATGTTTTCAAGAATTAAAGGTTTAGCTGCAAACATATTTGCCTAACACCTATCACCCCGCCTTCCTTAAATGCAAATCAGCAGGATCCTTAAAACAAGGAAGGATTGATATACCTGACATTCTGTTTCCTTTCATGTCTGACACTGACATGGCTGTCTATTTTCTCCAGCCTTCCAAAGTGGCACCCACATTATTCATCGCAGCACCGTAACCCTTTGTCCCGGAGGCCTTTTCTTCATAATTTTTAGCTTACCTAGGAAGGGCCTTAAAAAGGAAGTTTAATTCTTTGAAGACCAAAGCTTTCCAATTTTTTCCATGAGAGCAGTTCACAGCTAGCTCTGAGCTGCCGGTGGGGTACCCCTGATTCCCAAATCTATCATCTGGGAACATACAAAAGCTCTTGTACAGATTTCTTTTTTTTCCCTTTTTCCCCTTTCAAAAGAGAAGGTGGGGGAGAAACTACCTCAGTATATTGTAAATCTATTATGTCTGTCTAGATCTAGCAATGTGTGGGGAGATAAACATATCACAGGTATGCTAAGTAAATTTTAGTCAATAAAGACAGGAGGAAAAAAATCTTGCATCATTTTTATATTTAAGGAATATTTAACCATTAATGGATATCAAAGGGAAAGGGAATTTTAATCATCTCTCCATTCAGTCTCAGTTGGGTAAATCATATCTAAGAGATTTGCATAAATATAAACCATCAAAGACTTTTCATCTTCAAAGGGGGTTTCAAGTCCCTATAAGCTTTGTACTGTAATCATCACAGGTCACAACCCTGCAGGAATAAGGCTGCTATGGCAACATAAAAAACTAATGCTTAAGGCTTAGCATAATATTCTGACTAATATAAAGGAAACTCATTTTGAAACCTGGCAGCCTATTTACCAGAAACTGGATTAGAGGTGTTATTTCCCCTTTTAGCTCTTCTCCCCCCACCCAAATTTCACCCCTCCCCAAAAGAAAGGGAAATAGAACCACAGCATCTTGAAAAGGGTTCCAACCAATTTGCGGTAACTTTACATTAGGTCAAAATGAATCGCCTCTCTCTGCGTATTCTCCATCCTTCCCTCTTTTTCATGCACAATCACCGTGGTCACCACCGCCCCTGCTTGTCCAACCTTTTCACAAGCTAGTGAACCCCAGAATGTAAGGAATTAAGGGGAGAAAGTCTGCAGATGTTTGGCACTCAAGAAAAGGCATAGGAAGACCCAGAAAGCCCAACCCTCTACCTCTCTACTCAGAAGTAAGGGCCAATGGCCGGATTTCCAATTAAATGGACACAGAACTGCAGCCTGACACTGGACCCAACAGTGTACTAGTCCAACAAAGCTATTCACTAATCATTTTGCAGGCATGGATTGGTTAATACTCAAAATGTAAATGTTAAATTGGAGCTTCTTTGGAAGCTAAGCAGTCACCCCCCCCCCCCCAAAAGCTACTTATATCTGTCTGCTGAAATCTTTATGTGTTGCATTTTGGAACCATCAGGGAAAGTTTGGATCAAATATTGTTCCCTTTTCCTACTTTAATTATTTTTCTGCCCCCCCTTTTTTTCTTTTAAGTGCTATTAGCACCAAATACAAAAGGCAACTAGTGGAGAAGTTTCAATTAATTTTTTTCAAAAGGAGACAATTAAATGTTTCCGGCTTGGTAAAGTGTTCATTTCAGTGAGAGGGGCTGGAAAAAAGGAAGGGGGGGGGACCAAACAAAGATTGGGGAGGGGATGAAGGAGCAGGCTTTAGCCAGTCTTTCAATTCCAGTGCACACCCGATAGTGTGTTGGGAAGAATGCACACTGTTCAGGATTTGTGGGGGGATTGTCCCACAACAAAAGAGCGAGAGTTAGGCTTGTTATAGTCCAATAAGCTATGCCAGTCAAACAAGTACCCATCTGAAGGACAAAGGGAGAGCAAGAGATTCTCACACAAAAGGGAACAAGTAAGCCCGTCTTTTAGTTGTGCATCAGTCTCCAGGTTTTAGGCTTCGCATAAATCAAAATGAAGGACAAAAATAAACAGCCAAAAGCTTTCCATTGCAATGGCCATGTTAAAAAGCAAAGCAATGGGAAGAGGAGCATGTCTAGGAAGGTGTTGGGGAAGGAAACACGGACTTTGCTTCCAGGAAAAATCGAGGCTGAGGAAAACTGGAGCCAGTCCTCTCACACTGAGGGAACATTTATTTAATCATTCTGAAACCTTGGCGGTAGTGAAAATATGAATATTCATAACCACCCCAAACTCCCAGATGTGTTAGTCTGCTGCAGCTCAATCAACAAAAGGCCTGTAGATCTTGCTGTCTTTTATATGAGTGTGTGTGTATAAAATTTTTATTAAAGATTTTTAAAAAGGAAGATAAAAACTAATACAAACCAATATAAGGTAAGAAAAAGAAATATAAAGAAAAAAAAAGAAATCAAAGATAAAGCTAAAAGTGCAAAAAAGTAAAAAAAGTAAAAAATAGAAGAGAAAGAAAAAAGATACAAAGAAGTAGCTTCCAAGTCTTCTTTACAGTACAGTTATAAATTTAGATCTTGCTGTCTGAAAGATCCATTGAATCTGATAAAATAAAGAATTGAATGATTCTTTGTATGTTTGAACATAGTGGACATTAACTTTTCTATACATTGGCAAAAGCATGTTTCCTTTCACTCATATTTAATTAATTTAAATGGACCTGATTATTGCCTAACACTTTCACAACTTGCTGATTGGGCAAGAATGATAAAGAATCCTATGGTCATTTAAAAAATAACAGATATAGATTAGGGTTAGATGAGGCTATGTGATTAAACTTTGGTGTTTATTTATCCCCTTCTTTTCCCTTTATGGATTTTATATTTAATATGTGCTCAAGTCTTCCTTCCCACCCCAAACTTGGAAAACAAAGTAGAATGAAGCTTAATTAATTAACTTCAGTAACATTTTCAAGAAATAACGTGGTAGAATGAAATGAAAATTCCTCTTCAACAGTCAGGACAATTATAGCATAATTAGGCCCATTTCAGCATTTTCTTATGCAAGTTGACAGACTAACCATTTGCATCTCAGGTTTTTATTGGCTGAAAAGTCAGTCATGAAAAACAAACACACCTGCCAGCAATTTAAAAGGAAGACATAGAGGGCTGGACAGGAAATAATATCTTTCCTAATTAAAAACACTAGTTAAAAGCTTCCTGTTTGTTCTTCTGGCTGCCCTTAGGGGTGACCTTTCCTTCTATCTCCGCCATAATTTTTTCATGTGTTGGTAAAATGCTTCCTCCGTTGACCAAGTCGTTCTAGCATGGAGAATAAGTTCTGTATTATGTATGTGACTATTAGCCTTCAGTATAATAAACAGGAACATCAACTCTTAATGGTTTTTGTTTAATTTTACTTTGTCCAAACTGCAGCGTAGTGTATCAATATTGTATTTCTAAAACCGCCTCTCTTTATACATGCATAACTCATCTGCAGTTACAAACTATTCTCCTTGTCCTGTAACTGTTGATCTTGGACATAGGGTTTCAAACATATCCATGTGATTCTGTGCTGCCTTGCTAAGAAAGTCCACTATGTTCAATGTCTCAGGACTGCAAAGGACAACCATCTGAACTCCAAATCTGCTATAGTTTTTGCTTAACAGAAGACAGGAAACTTTGGGGCCAAACCACTTTTTGATATTCTAATACAAAATGGGTACATTATAGATGAGCTGAACCAGTACTAACAATAAAGGTATTTCATATTTGCTTCATGATATCACTCCATTTCTTCCCTTCTGAAATTGGACACAGGTCCTTTATCTGAGATAATGGCAGATGTGTATTGACTCACCCATTTTATTTCTTCTACGCTGTCAACTTTGGGGAGCATCAGGCTAGTAGGAAGAACCTTGGATTTCAAAATGACCTTCATATCTTCTTCTGCAAGACCACTGGACACTGAATTGATCCTAACACACTTCTCCGTCTGACCAAAGTCAAATTTCTCAAGGGCTTCCACAGTTTTCATTCTAGCTTCTGCCTAAAGTTTTTTTGGGGGAAAAAGATAAAGAGAAACCAAATGCTTTGTTTTATTGAGAACTAACTTTTAAAAAATCAGATAATAATTAAATGAACAATGGAGAAATTCTCCTATGTTACAAATCATAATACAGTAAAATTGGGGTAGATCACATAGTTGCAGGGGTATCCCTGGGATGTGGCCAAAATAGTCAAGATGGTGAAACTCCACCTGTTTTTATGTGCTTTGTGTGTGCTATCTTGACCTTTTTGACCATATACTGTGGACAGCCCTGCACAGTTGCTACTCTTTTTAAATAAAAGCAATTAAGCTTAGCCACAAATTAATATGTTTAATCCACTATTCATGAGTCATAGCAGATGGCAGCACCTAGAACACCTTATCTTGAAAAAGCTGAACAGAGTTGGATCCGATTAGCACTTGGATGGGACAGTCCCACTGTAGCAGCCTAAGGCTATACACTAAGGTGGAAAATAACTCCCTCCCCCTCCCAAAAAATCCTAGAAGGCTAACCATTTCCATAGTGTGGTCATGAAAGTAATATAGATGTACAGTGACCAGAAGTCAGGCTCATCTTGAAAGAGACTTCCTTTTTTCTAAAGGGATCATGATAATTACTAATCGAATGAAAAATATGGTTGGATCCAGAATGGAAAAGCAGTTCTGCTAATACATGATTGATCTTCACTTCTCATTAGCCTTAGCTAAGCTGATGGGAAATATAACTTAAAGACAGGTGAAATCACTTGGTCCATCATCTAACATATAATCCCAATAACTGAACAGTGTCAATCATGAAAAGATTAATATTTACAATTAAGAGAACATTTCCCAAGTTATACCATGATATATATATATATATATATATAAGAAATATTATTATCTGTATACATTGTCATAAATGGTTCATTCATGGACTTTTCTGTTTATGTTAATGTTGTATGAAGAGAAGGAAGACTTACAAGAATTTGTCAAGAAGAGCACCCAATAATTGTTTCCAAAATGATTATACTTTGTGCAATAAACAGTTATATTCTAATAGTGAGGAGGCAGTACAAGTGCCATTATATATTAAATTCCTTTCAATATATCGATCATACATGTGAACAATATTTTCCTTCTGAGTAGTTATGTGTTTACTGGGAACCCCCCCCCCCCCTTT